CCTCAGACGATAATCCTGCAGATCCTTTCACGAAGGCTCTGAGTAGGGTTAAGCATAACCACCATGCTAGGAGCATAAGCTTGAGAGATGATATTAGTTTTAGTAGTTAGTTGATATTTTTAAACTTGTAATAAAATAAATGAAATTGACATTGGTGATTAAATAATAAAGATTATTTATGATTATGGTTACCGCCTTTTTCAATTTTTTATTCTTGTGTTTCGTTTTGCAAGTTTTACTTCCTAAATAATTTAATTATTCTAAATTCCACAGTCGCTCATGCTTTTAGAAGTAAGTAGTGAATCAAGACTGTCATGAATGGATTGTAGATTGTCTATAGAGATTATACATTGCAATGGTTGCTACAATATTCATGAGTACATAGAAAATGGAGATTTTGAGTATTTGGATAAACTCACGCTCAGAGAATTACTTCATGGATTTTATCATGAGTAATTTTGAGATGATAATATCTTATATTCGTGAAATGGAGACATATGAGTTTTACTTTACTAGTCGGTTGTGCATTGGTGTTAAGAAAATGCATCGGTAACGTGATGTTATAAAACGTAGTGTCATGCATGATTTGGTGAGTAAAATATACAAGCACACGAGTCAAAATTTATTTGTTCTTTTTGCCCTAATAGGAAAAGCGGTATCTTTGGGCCCCTTGGTGATTTGGCAGCCAGGACTAAACTGATGTGTTCAATTAGTAGTCTTATGAGGTCATCACAAATCGGGAAATCGGGAAACAAAATTTTGGACAAAAGATTTATTGTAATCCATGTCTCATGTCCATACGATATCTTGTAGAATGGATGAATATTTGATCACTTATCTTAGGACCGATGTCTAATCAGATCAGAGTCTGGAAGTTGCTTTGGAAAGCACTCTTTGTTGTTTAATTGAGAGGTCATACTTGAAATTGTAGTTATAGACTTATCTAAGTGGGAGACTGTTGGATTAGGTGTCTAAGCCAATAACTAAATTGGTATATACTTGAATTAAAAGCAAAGTCCTTTTCGGTTGCCATCAAAACTAGTAATTGACAGAATGACTTTTTAGAGAGAGAGAGAGGTTGATTTATTGGTTTATTATAAGATTAATAAATAGGAATAAATAATTTATTAATATATTATGAGGTTAATACATTAATTAGAAATAATATTATTTAATTAATAGTTAATTAGAAATTAATTAGAATTAATTTTGGGATTAATTTGATTAATTAAAAGTGCAATGACCTAAGCTGTAATTGTTTAATAGTTGAATAAGAGAAAGATTATAGAATAATCTAGGGTAGGCCGAATATTTGGAGCCTCCTTAGGGTTTCTAGATTAATCCTTAAGGATAATTAGGAATGTGGATAATTACCTAATTTGAGATATTAGTATTATATTCAAATTAGGGTTTCCAGGGTTTCCTAATTCGGCTATATAAGGAGCCTTAGACCTTAAATTTTCGGCCACCCCTTTCTCAAGAAGAAAATCCGAAAATTATATCCTCCCTCCTCTCTCCTCTCAAGTATTCAATTGCTAGATTTTGGGTACAAACCATTAGAGGCAAGAGATTTCTGGTGTTTGCTTTCTGAAGCTTGTTCAAGAAGGAATTGTTGACTATTTACTACAATAATAAAAAAGGTATGTAAACCCTAAAACTTTATGAATTTTGAAAATAGGTACTCCTAGGGTTCTTTGATGTTCATAGATTATAACATTCAATAGAGAAAACTTAGATCCAAATAGGTTGCATGTGAACTTAAGGGTTAAGTTTTTCCGCCACATGATTTTTAAATATAACCTATAAAACTCGTCAATTATATCTATCTTCTTTTGTATGTGGATGACATGCTTATTGCTTCGAAGAGCAAGGTGGAGATAGATAGGTTGAAATCTCAACTTGGTAAAGAGTTTGAGATGAAGGAAGTAGGAATTGCTAAGAAAATATTGGGTATGAGGATTAGAAGAGAGAGGTCGAATCATCGATTGTTCTTGAGCCAAAAAGGCTACATTGAGCGGGTTATTGCAAGGTTCGAGATACAAGATGCCAAGTTAATGGTGACTCCATTGGCTCCAGATTTTAAACTCTCTAGTAGACAATCTCCCACTATAGCATAAGATAAGACATACATGGAGTGTGTGCCTTATGCCAGTATAGTTGGCAGTTTGATGTATGTCATGGTATGTACACGTCTAGATATTTCATAGGCAGTCAGTGTGATCAGTAGGTTCATGGCAAACCAGGGGAAGGCACATTGGGAAGCTGTGAAATGGGTCATAAGGTATTTGAAAGGAACCATTGATATAGGTTTATGATTTGGTGGAGATACATGTCAAATCACTGGATTTGTGGATTCATATCATGTTGGTGATCTGGATAGATGTTGATCTACTACTGGTTATGTGTTTAAAATATACTGTGCTCCAGTTAGTTGGCGGTCGAGCCTACAAGCAACAGTAACACTTTATACCACATAGGCTGAGTAAATGGATATAATAAAGGGAGTGAAAGAAGCATTGTGGTTGCGGGGTTTTTTTTATATGATTTGGGGTTTGGGCAAGATTGTGTAGACTTATGGTGCGATAGTCAAATTGCAATTCACTTAACTAAGAATTAAGTTTATGATGCTTGTACCAAACATATAAATGTCAGATATCATTTATGTGGGATGTCATAGAGGATGGTGATATTTCTCTTATGAAGGTGCATACATATTAGAACCCAACAGACATGTTAACCAAGGTGGTACTAGGTGGCAAGTTTAAGCATTGCTTGAACCTGCTTAATATTAATCGGTGTTGATTTCCCTTGAGGGAAATGGCCTTGCATGGCAGTGTCAGGGTGAGGAGGAGTTATCACCCAATGAAGTGAACTACGATGACTTGATCCCAAATAAGGGTACATACGAAACCATGGTCAAATGGTGCAGCCGGATTGAGTTCTACATATCAAGGTGTGCAAATCGTCCAAAATTTTAGGTCTATCAAATGCTGTTCGTGGTGGAGAACTGTAAGTTGGTAGCCCAATTACTTTTGTTAATAGCCCAACTGTTTTGGCCCAAGTTAAATGACTCGTTTCTTGTTATGTTATACTCAGTGAAGAGAGCAGAAAATATATCATGTAAATTATAGAGGGAAAATAAGGGTCAATTTCTTAACCTAATACAAAAGACTCTATCTTCTGTTGTGGATGTAGGAATTTCTGAACCACGTAAATCTTTGTGTTATTCTCTATTTACTTTTATTTGCTTGGTTATTGTCATGGTTTGATTTGGGTCTAAGGGAAAAAATGGGAATATCATATAGAGAAAAGGTTAGTTGTTTTTTTTTTTTCGTTTTCTGCATTGTTTATGTTGGAGTAACATCACTCAACTACATGGTGTAGTGGAGATATACCTAACAACCTTAGAATAATAATGTTGCATAGGGAATCTAGATTAGGAGTTGGTTTTATGCAATGCATTATCCTCAAGCCAACATTTGGAAACCATTTAGCATTAAACAATATTACTAAAACTCCATTTTGTGTTTTAAAAAAGCACACATTTTTTACTTGCAATAATCACCAAACGATGACCAAAAAGGAGAATTACTCCTATCTTTTTTTCACTTTACAAAAGTTCATTTAAATCTAAAATTGTTGATAAAGGACGGAAAAGGGTTATGTACGAAAGTTTTAACACACAAATAACAAATATTTCAAACCAAATTAAAGAGGTTAAAGGGTTATATGAAATATCAAGAAATTATCAGTTAATCATATCATTTAACACCATATGTGTATTGAAGAAATATGAAAGATAATTCTAGCTTAGACGTAAAACAAAAGAATAAAACAATAACACCGACCTGCTATAAATGCAAAAGAGTCAGATTCACAAAAAGAAGCCCCTGGTTTGAATGTTGTTTAAAATATAGAGGAGTTGAACCACTCAACGAAAATAACAAGGGGGTAGATTCAAGACTGGTAGAGTAACGACATTGGAAACTTTAAATCACTGTCGATTTCATGTGGGCACGACCGACTTCGAAAATGACGAGGTTGAAAGTGGTGAAGTTGACTTTACAATTTCTAGGGACTGGAAACGGTCGACGTCTCCGGTCGATTTCACCGGGCGACTTTTGTATTTCACCGCCAAAAATCTTAGGTAAGACTTAGAGAAAGCAAGAGAAATGGGAGGTTAGGCTGATTTTAGTATTTCAAAGTTGGAAACGAGAATACATGGTGGAAGGGAAAGAGACGAGAAGGTGGTGATGCTAGAAGGTGGAGGCGTCGATTAGGTGGTTAAAATGGTAGCTCCGATTGATGAGGAGATCTCCTACCTTCTTGTTCCGTCGTCTCTAAACCCTAAATGTTGGAGGCGATGGAGCTGGGTGAAGAAAGAAGTGCTAACCTAAGAGATGTTTTTGAGAAATTATCAACGGTTTTTTTTTTAATTTTTTTTGGATTTCTTTTCGCTTTATCTATTAAAAGACACGCTACCTAAAAAATATAAAATGACAGATAATTTAGGACACGCAAAAATGCGTGTACTAAATCCTTTAAATTTTAAAATAGATGACATTTTTTATGACACGCACTCTTACGTGTCATAGAGATAATGCAAGTCATAGTTCGCACATCATTAAAGGCATGTTTTCTAATAGTATTGCATTAGTTGGTTGCCCGAAATCATTGATGACAAGGGTTATACTTGTGGAAGTTGATCCGTACACAACTATTTGCTATTCGTAATAATTTATGTTTTAGAGAATTGTACAATTTGTATATTGTACAGCACTTTATAACATAAATTGTTATATAAACAAAAATTGTTGTTTCTTACTTTTAGAAGGTCCTGTTTTTAAGATTGTATGATCAATGAGCATCAAGATGCAAAGATTATTAAGAGGGATGGATGCAATCAAAAAGTGGAAGTGGTATATGTACAACCCTAACATAACTTTGCTTATTTATGTACAAATTCTGCAAAAATTAAAAAAACTAAAAACAGAGAATAAAACCCTAAATGAATGAACCCTAGAGAACCAACTTATTTACATGTAAGTCACAAGACTGTGTGAAAGCCTTTCAATCTGAGATTTGAAGATATCTCCAATGGAAAACCTGGGCTTCGCTGCAGGTGCTGAGTTTGGCTTCACAACTTTCTCATTCTTCACTGCTAGATCTATTAAACCCATCTCTCTCTTCATGGATTTCACAAACTCCATGTCCACCTTGTTGCCGAATATGTCCCTCACATAGAACGTAATATCAACACATTTGTCCATTTTCGTTGCTAAATCTGCTCTCAATACAACTAGCCCATTCTCCCGAAGAACCCTTGTTATGTCTGAAAGCAGCCCTACCCTGTTATTTGCACATAATTCTAGCCGGATTCCCTGCACAAACATGAACATCTAAAACATTACATCTCAATGATATGATGATCTAATAGGCCTCATAAGTGATGGAAATAAACTGTTTCTGGATCAGGGTTAGCAATCTCTCAAAATAGCATGTTTTGGACCGGTGATTTCAAATCCAGAGAATGTGATCATGGGACATTCACATGATCACATTCTTGCAATATAACATTAAAATGTTCTTAATTAATTCAAGCAAGGGCCATAATATACCTCACATACGCGACGCTCCACTGCGGCCTCTAGGCATTTCATAGCATGCTGCTTCTCACTCTCAGTGCTCAATGCACCTCCATCGATCTTTCTCACAAAGTACTCCTGTTGAAACATTTACATTGTTGCATAAAGTTCATATATGTTCGTTTAGATAATTAAGCAGTGATAAAATAACTTCAATTACACTTTCTCCAACTCGTTAAAGATGCATGATAGGCATAGATATACTACAAACAAAAGCTTCATAAAATCTTTTTATTGGTTTTATGTAGCTCATTAGCGGTCATTGATGTTTCTATTTGGACAAAAATAGTTGGATGATGACATACCTGAAAGGCATAGCCTCCATGAGAATCCACAGAAGCATGAGGGATGACATATTGCATATCTGCAAGTGTGCAAACCGTATCAAACATAAGTCTTCTTCTATCCTTGCATTGCACTGTAACTATCGAATATCCCTTCTCAGCACAATTCTCTATCATCACACTAGCCTTTTCAGCCTCTTGATCACCACCAGAATCCATTCCAAGTGAGATCCCAGGAGGACATTCCGGCCTTGTAGGCGGCACATCAAAGTCTTGAACTGAAAGCAAGAGTTGATGCAACCGCCTTTCAACAGTGGTCATGGTGCCTTCACTACCACCTGCAACTATAAGGCCAGTGGATTTAACATCTTTGTGTTGTGATGAGGACTGTGGGCAAGTGTTTTCTGGTGTGATAGAGGCATGCAGGATGGTGTTCAGGTGATGTTCAATGGCTGCAAGGCGGTTTCCATCAATACGAGTATCTGATGATTGATCATTGATGTAGGCTACACAAGCCAAACGGGCATTATGGCTCCATGCATGGGCTTCAACAATGTTGCATTGGAGATCAGCTAAGGCTGCTGATATCTCGGAAAATAAACCGGGTCGATCCGTTGCTGTCATTTCAATAGCTGTTGGTTCTCCATGTAGATCGGTGTCAAGAAGTTTTCTTGTTTGAGTTGTGATATTTGATGCAGCTGCCCGATTCGATCCTATAGCCTGTGTCTCAACAAAAGATCTTGTCAAAAGTTGTGTATCTAAAACTATATATGATGGTATAAGTTCTTGATTTTGTTGTCATGTAACAATTACCTGCTGGATGTAGTTGATGATATTTTGATCAGTAACTTTCTTGCCATTCTCATCTTTAACATGAAAAACTGCATGTTTTGTTAAGCGCTATATTAATAAGTTAGTCTTATAATGTATGATAAACACCTTTATATTCAATTTTGACTGTTAAATGTCAAATTCGAATCAGACTTTTAACTTCAGCTTGATGTGAATTTTTATGGTTATCTTAAAGTACATTATAATGTGTTACACTATCATGTGTTTCAAGGTTCAAAAACTAGAATTTTAATTCTCAATTTTCTATATTGAAAAATACTGTGCTTGACTTTGACAGAACACTGTGAATTTGTAAAAAACTAAAATAGTTGATGTCGATTTGTAATTTGGAGAAGATTATGTGGAAATTAAGTCAAAATACCATCCATGAACCATCCGGCATCAGAAGATATATAGCCTTTTGAGATAGTTAAGTTGACTTCAGTTAAAACCTGCACCACATCCAGGAGTTGCCCTTGCTTCTTTACACAATCAATCTGGATTTTACTCAACAAAAATCAAATGATACAGTTAATTCTTTCTCTCTTTCTTTGGCTAAGGAGCTGAGCTCTAATTTTGTATATATCTCGAGAAAGACCTTAAAGTTAGCTCATTTAGCCTCATAAATTAAATAGCACCCATATGTTCCTTAATTTTTACCTTCACGATGGTACGATCCTCTAAGCTTTCATTGTCAAAGGTCACTCTGCAACTGAAAGCGGGTTGAACGAGAATTAATGATAATTTCTTTAGAAGTAGTTGTGATCATCATCGATCATATATAAGGTATCACTTACGGTGGGCCGTTTATCCTTTCTGAAAGAGAATCAAATTCGGGATCAAAGTAGGGTGAAAAAGCTCTTGTCATAATGCAAACTGCACCAACAAATTAAAAGTTTCACCGGTGATATAAAAACCCTAATATGGATTATAAAAGATTATGAGAGATGCACAACTCAGGATAACAGTTCTCTTGTTTCATTCTTTTTTTGTTTGGTATTTAATTAAAACCATAAATACAATCGGTATTCAACACTAAAAATTGCGAGGTATTTTTGATCACTGATCGATACAAAATAGAGCCAATTACTTTTCAAGTACTGACGATCCAATCTTGATCAGGGTTTATGATAATGTAGCCAAAATGTTATATTCAGCAATATATTACTAACAAATATCTTGAATACCATCTTACGGCTCCAGAATATCATATTTCCATACATACATTATCGAAGGAAAAAATCGTACATATATATGATATTTATCTATAGATGTTCCTCCTGATCATTAATATATCATTTGATCTATAAAAGAATCCATGAAATCAAAAAAGAAACGATGGATTTGAGGGTTTTCTTGTATACGTTTCAATTGGGAAAACCTTGCAAATACATAAAGGATTGAATGCATGCATATAATAGTTAAAGAGAAACGAAAGAGCATGCACCTATGGAAATGCAACAGTACTGGGTGGGAGGAGACGGCGGCGACCGGTGAATCTATTAATCTTAAGAATGAATATTCAGTTCTCTCTCTCTTGAAGAAGAAGATGAATCGACTGCATAATTTTCGAAGAGAAAGTTGAGAGAGAGAAAGAAAGAGAGAGATAAGGGAGTTGCTAATCTGGGGAATAAAAGCTTGTTAAATGGAGAGAAGGATTGATTAAATAGTCTGGCTTTAAATAAGAATGGAGGAAAGTTAGTGGTGGAGATATGTTTGAAGAAAAGTCTACCCAAAATGGTTCCAAAGAGAAACAAGTAAATTTCAAGGGCACTTTTGTCCAACTTTTGGATTTGATTATTTGACCATTTTCAGCTTTGTAGCTGTATTGTATTTGTTAATTAAAATGATAACTTCTATAAGTTACCAACATTTTGAATTCGAATTCTCTATTTATTCGGTATTATCACTGTAAAACATGGTAATAATGAGTTTTTTGAGTTTAAAATTTGGGATTCGGAAATATTTGAGAATAAATTACAAAGATTGCCATTTTATGTAAGTCTTTATGCATGAGAATCAAAGTACGTGCACCTTTTTGATGGTTTGATAAGATGGTGCAAATGTGTACATTTAATCCAAAAAGATATGAACACTTATGGTAATCTTGACTTGACGTATCGGCTTTCTATTCAATTACCATAGTAGTTTAGATAAGAAAACAATACTTGAAATACCTAGAGAAATTAGTCAAATGATCAAATCCACCCAATTCAAGCATTTTATGTAGACTTCTATAACATATATCCACCATTCCTTTTTCTCCATGTGCGTTATGTCGGTAATTGATGAGTAGTTTTCTAATAATATCATCCATAATACCTTTGAAAAAAATAATAAATAAATAAATAAATAAAAATAAAAATCAAGTACCTAGAAGTCTAGAACCCCATATTTTAACCCGTTTTAAACACGTTTCAGAGATTATTTTGGTATATAAATCATCCTTCAAAAATATAACTGATTCCAAATACATGGGAGTTTGTTTAGTATCTGGTTTTCTAAACTCAAAACATCCGTACACAGAAACAAATTGTATTTTTTTAATATGTGCCGTCTAGCCTTTTATTTAGCGGATAATATGACCGGGTTTCACAAAAATGAAATGGTCGCTTACAGATGACAACTGTATTTTTTTACGTCCACTTTTCATAGATACTATGATCTAGTTCTTAAGGATGAAGAGAGTGGAAGGGAGTGGTGGGACACTTCCTTATTTTGCCACACTCACACAGGAGAAGTGGTATACCATGAGAGAGAGAGAGAGAGAGAGAGAGAGAGAGCACTCCTTTTTTTGGCCGCACACCCCAACCCGCAATAGGAGGGGCGGTGTTTGTTGCGGTAAGACATGTCACGTAGGATCTTAACATACTCCACTCCCTCAAGCCTAACATACGAACCGGATTAAGAAACTGTTATTCAAGAGAGTGGATTGTAAATCAATAGGCTTTTGGCCTAGTTAGTGGTATGGTGAGATATCTTTCTCATGAAGTTGATGGTTAAGTCTTATTTGAAATATACATGGATTAAAGAAGTAGATTTTAATAGTTGGTTAGAAAATATGTATTGCCGTTTTTTTTTAAAGTTACATGAATACTTCAATTTCATAAATAACCAAATCTTATCAACATAAAAACCCCATGGGGTTAAGGTACAGATTCACATTGCCAAAGGCTTGTTAATTTAGACCATTGAATACTTCAGTTACATGTTACATGGATACTTCAGTTACATGAATACTTTCGTTACATGAATACTTTTTCCAAATGCATGTTAACTTAGACCATTGAAAATATATGTACACAAAGGGCATGTTCACTATCGGTGTTAAGGTAAAGATTCTCATTGCCTCCAACGATTACAATACAGGAATACATATACACAATATATATATGGGCCTTAGGCCTAATACAATACATGAGAATATGGGCTTTACAATCTAATATACATGTATACACTCACGTCCCCCACAATTTTATTGGGAGGACTATTCCAAACGTCCAAACTAGACCAAGTCATTGAAAAGCTGTGTCGGAAGTCTTTTGGTGAAAATATTTGCATACTGTGCGGAAGATGGAATATGAAAAACGCAAACTAACCCGCGTGCAACCTGATCGGCACAAAATGAATTTCAATCTCTATGTGTTTTGTGCATTGGTATTGAACTAGGTTCGATGACATGTATATCGAGCTAATATTGTCACAATAGACAATGGTGGATTTTGTCAAGGGCACCGCAACTCACGAATAAGATTTCAAACCTAGCATGTGTCGGAAACAACGTTGGCCACACCACCATACTCGACCTCCGCACTGGAATGAGAGATAACCCATTGCCGTTTAGAGTATCAGGAGATAAGGTTATCTCCAAAGAATACACAATTGCTAGAAGACGAGCGATGAAACACCGGACACCTGCCCTATTCGGCATCAGAATATGCAACCAGTTCCGAAGAGGGAGACATTGGCGGAGCTTCATTAGGGAAAGGGGGGCTGAGCCCCCCCCCCCCTGATTTTTTGGTTTGATATAGTCCTTCTAATTCCATTTTATACATTTTAGACCTAAAAAATATAAAACTTTGGTTGTGCCCCCCCCCCCTGCTTACCAATTTTTATACATATTATACTCCCCCCCCCCCCCCCCCCCGAATTAAATGTTGAAGCTCCGCCCCTGGAGGGAGAGACATGAAGTTGGAGATTGTGATCTGGTGTCCCTCTAATATAGCGAAGAATATGCTTGAGAGCATAAACATGAGGTTCTATAGGATCATGCATGAAGAGACAGATTTGATGAACTGCGAATGCAATATCTTGTCGAGTGAATGTGAGGTACCGAAGAGTGTCGAAGACTGCAATATAGGGATAGGTCTGAAACAGGCGAGCCAATGGCATCTAGCTTATGGGTGGTCTCAGTTGGAGTACGAGCTGGATTACACAGGAGCATGTGTGTCCGTTGAAGTATCTCCGATGCATATTTCTTTTGGGAGAGGAAGAGACCTTGTGTGTTCTGTGTGGCAGAGATACCCAAAAAGTAGTTAAGAGCCCCTAGATCAGACATGGCGAACTCTCGAATAATCTTAGAGATATTTTATTGTAGAAGAGTCGAGGAGGAGGTGGTGAGCATAATGTCATCGACATATAGAAGTAGATAGGCAGTATCAGTGTCGTGATGATAGGAAATAGAGATGAATATGAAACATCCCAAAAATACAACCCAAAAATTTTCGTTTGAAAACTTAACTAAACCATAATATTAAATATTAAAAGATAAATCCATGGGTCATACGTCTCATAATGTCATAATAAGTTAATCAAATCAACTGATGTCAAAACATATCAAAATGTCTGAATAAAACTCCCAGGATAAGCTGAAGTTGTGGTGTGTGCCATGTCATCATCCCGAGCTCTTCCCCTTACTAGCGGAAGTACCTGAAACCAAAAACTGAAACTGTAAGCACAAAGCTTAGTGAGCTCCCCCAAACTACCACATACCACATACCATATAACTGCATCGGACCGAGGTCCGGAAACTGCATCGGACCGAAGTCCGGAACTAACCAGGGCCTTGCCCTCTGCATCGGACCGAAGTCCGGAAACTGCATCGGACCGAAGTCCGGAAACTGCATCGGACCGAAGTCCGGAACTAACCAGGGCCTTTCCCTCTGCATCGGACCGAAGTCCGGAAACTACATCGGACCGAAGTCCGGAACTAACCAGGGCCTTGTCCTCTGCATCGGACCGAAGTCCGGAAACTGACTGAACATAGCATAGCATAATCATAACTACTAGCATAAACACATATACTGCATACTGCATCGGACCGAAGTCCGGAACACATAACACAAAGACATGCTTGAATCACAAAGACATCAAGCACACTGAACTACTGCATCGGACCGAGGTCCGGAATTACTGCTAACTAAACGGGCCGGTATTGTGGCCGTAGACCCGTTCCTAATGGAAGGAAACTCACCTCGTAACGCTGGCTGCTGAGGTGCTAAATCTGAAACTGCCTGACTGCTGCTCCGGAACTCCCCGGCTACAAATCCCATAAACACTAAATCAGATACTGATAACTAATCTCAGGGTAAAGTGACTATTTTACCCCTGGTCAAAGTCAACTTCCTGGCCAAAGTCAACTTCCTGGTCAAAGTCAACTTTCAGTTGACCGGACTCGCCGAGTTGGGCCGCCAACTCGCCGAGTCCCTCTCATCCTTTCAGATCCTCTACTCACTTCTGCTCGTCGAGTTTGGCAAAGACTCGACGGGTCCTTTTTCGATACTAACATCGAGTCTAATCTTCATCCGACTCGCCGAGTTGTATGAACAACTCGTCGAGTTCCCTTGAACAGAAGAACACACCCAGACTTTGACTCGCCGAGTCGTATGAACAACTCGTCGAGTCCGACTGCTTCCAGATCCAAGTCTTAACTCACTGAGTCCTTACTCTACTCACTGATTCACCCTAAACTCTCAAATCGGGGAAAAACCGAGGACTCGCGACTTGACTCGCCGAGTCTGAAGAACAACTCGTCGAGTCCCAAGCATGCCAAACTATACAGTCGATTTTTCTTAATTCCAAAGCATCCAATTCATAGATCTGGGGTCCTAGGACTGATTTCACAAATAAAGTTTCTAACTTTACGTTCATGCATGCTCATGATAAGCTAAAAATCCCAATAAGGAGCTAAAAGAGGAGATCTAGGTTTGGAATGGGTGCATAGCTCAATAAAGGTGGCAACCTTGAGCTTAAGGAGTCCTGAAGTGCTTAGATCTAAAACCCATTCGACTTAACTACCCATAAATCGACCTCAATGTCTAGAAAAGGCTCAAAAACAAGACTAGCAAGCTTTTATGGAGATCTACATGATGACAAGCAAAGATTCGAGCTTTATACCTTGATGGAAGCAGGAAGGACACACTAAGCTCAAATCTTCTTTGCTCCTCTTGAGAACCCCAAAATGGTTCCAAAGAGAAACAAGTAAATTTCAAGGGCACTTTTGTCCAACTTTTGGATTTGATTATTTGACCATTTTCAGCTTTGTAGCTGTATTGTATTTGTTAATTAAAATGATAACTTCTATAAGTTACCAACATTTTGAATTCGAATTCTCTATTTATTCGGTATTATCACTGTAAAACATGGTAATAATGAGTTTTTTGAGTTTAAAATTTGGGATTCGGAAATATTTGAGAATAAATTACAAAGATTGCCATTTTATGTAAGTCTTTATGCATGAGAATCAAAGTACGTGCACCTTTTTGATGGTTTGATAAGATGGTGCAAATGTGTACATTTAATCCAAAAAGATATGAACACTTATGGTAATCTTGACTTGACGTATCGGCTTTCTATTCAATTACCATAGTAGTTTAGATAAGAAAACAATACTTGAAATACCTAGAGAAATTAGTCAAATGATCAAATCCACCCAATTCAAGCATTTTATGTAGACTTCTATAACATATATCCACCATTCCTTTTTCTCCATGTGCGTTATGTCGGTAATTGATGAGTAGTTTTCTAATAATATCATCCATAATACCTTTGAAAAAAATAATAAATAAATAAAT